ATACAATTTGCTTTTTTTATAATGAACTTGTATTCTGTGCTATAAATTTTTAGTGGATTTCTTGTGATTTTCTATATACAAGATCATGCCATCTGCAAATCGTGATAGTTTTACCTCTTTTTTTCCAATCTGGATGTCTTTTCATTTCCTTGCTTATAAATTAACCTATCTAGAATTTCTGGTACAGTGTTCAATACAGTGGCAAGAGTAGACATCTCTTCTTCCTGATTTTAAGGGGAAAGCATTTAGTCTTCCTACATTAATTATGATGTTAGCTGTGGGTTGTTTTTTTTTGTTGTTGTTTTTTTAAGTAAATGGCCTTTATTTGGTTAGGAAGTTCTTCTATTCCTAGTTGAATGTTTTTATCATGAAAAGGTATTGATTTTGTCACCTGCTTTTCATATATCTAATGATATGGTCATGTGATTTCCCCCCTTTATTCTATTAATGTGACACATTACATTAATTTTTGTATATTGAACTAGCCTTGCATTCTTGGGATAAGTCCCACTAAATCATGATGTACAACCCTTTAAAAAAATTATTGATTTTTTTTTTTTTTGAGAAAGGGAGAGAGAGAAAAAGAGAGAGATAAAGGTTAAGAGAAACATTGATGTGAGAGAGGAACATAGATTGGTTCCCTCTCGCATGCACCCAGACTGGGGATCAAACCTGCAAACTGGGTATGTGTCCTGACCAGGAATCAAATCCACCACCTTTTGGTATATGGGACGATGCTCCAACTTAGCCACACTGGTGAGGGTGATGTACAGTTCTTTTTAAATGCCACTGGTTTGGGTTTACCAGTATTTTATAAAAGACTTTTGCTCCTATATTCATAAGGGATATTGATCTGTAGTTTTCTTTTCCTGCAATGTCTTTTTCTAGTTTTGATTTTTATTTTTATGTACCGTAAGCAGTGATGTCCTTTTTTCACTCCAGATTTGAGAATTTGTACGTTTTTAAAAATAAATATATTTTTATTGAATGAGGAGAGGAGAGGAGAGGAGATGGGGAGAGAGAAACATCAACGATGAGAGAGAATCATTGAATAGCTGCCTCCTGCACGTCTCCTACTGGAGATATAGCCCACAGCCAGGATAAATGTCCTGACTGGGAATCGAACTGTGACCTCCTGATTGATAGGTTGATGCTCACCACTGAGCCACGTGGGCTGGACTATTTCAGCATTTTAAAATATACTAACTTTTATGTTAATTTCTCCTTAATTTTTGAAGGGCACTTTTGCTAGAAAAATTGTCTTTTTCTTTTAGCAACTTGAAAGTCATCCATCCCAGTGCCTTGTGGCCTCCAGGTTTTCTGATGAGAAGTCAACCATTAATCTTATTGAAGATAGCTTTCACATGTATTTTAGTTTTAGATGCTTATTTGACACCCAAGTGGAGATAGTAAGGAGCGCTTGGATGTTGCATCTGGAGTTTAGGGGAGAAGTCTGGGCTGGGGACAGTAATCTGAGTCTTGGCATATAAATAATAAAGTTATGTCACTGAATGAGGTCACCAAAGGTGTGAGTATAGATTAAAAGACTAAGTACTGAGCCCTGGGATAGTACAATCATAGAGATAGGGGACATGAGAAGGAACTAGCAAAGTTGTTGTGAAGGATTAACTAGTGGGAAGAAATGAGGAGAGTGTGGTGTCATGGAAGCCAAGTGTTTCAAGGATATGGGAGTGTTGTGCTACTTCAGATGCTGCTGGGAGATCCAATAAGGCAACCAGACCGAACACTGGATTTCGTACAGTGGAGGTTATCGTGGGTCTCTGACTGGGGCAGTTTCATCGGAGCGATTGGGGTGAAAGCCTAACTGGTGTGTGTTCATTAATGAATGGAAGAATTGGATGCAGCAAGTTCTTTTGGGAAACTTTCCTGTGAATAGGAGCAGACAATGGGGGTAATAGATGGAGTTGGTTTAAAAAAGGGAGGACTTTTAGCATGTCTTTTAATACTGATCCAAGTTCATGTTATCATGACATTTCAGTCCGTCCCGTATTTCTTAAGCTTATTTATTTTGATTTTGAAAGTACATTTATTAAACCTGGGAACAGTGGAACAAAGGAGAAGCAACGGGAAAGAGCCTCAGCGGGCTGCGGTCAGCTCACTGGAGAGTCAGAGAAAAGGGGCTTCGGGAGAAGGTTCAGGGGGTTAGCCCAGGATGAGGGGCCATCGCCCATTGCTCCCCTGGTTGCAAGTCTTGTGGAGTCTCTTAACGTTTAGGAGATGCACCCTGTGGGGGAAGAAGAGGGGAAGGGAAAGGCACGGTGTGCTCATGTGCTTTTAAGTTCAACTTGATGATTTCAGTTCAGAAATGTTCACTCCCCACACGACTGACTCAGGGATTTTCCCTTTGGAGGATACTTGCACCCTGTTTGTAAGTCTTTTTGGCTCCCATCCTTCCCCTTCTTCTATCTGGAATGATCATTGCATTACTCTCTATTCAGGTCTTACAAATCCCTTCGTAATATAGCCATTAAAGCATCTCTCAGGGTTCTGTTTATGCCTCACCTCCTTCAAGAAAGTCAGTGACTATGGTTTCTTACTGCTTGCTTTCTACGTTCACTTAAGCAGCCTCTGTGTATTTATGTACTATGCTAGGGATAAAAGAAATAAGATTTGGCTGGTCCTTGTCTTAAAGAAGTTCATAGTCTAATAAAGCTAAAGTGTCCAGTACAGTAGCCACTAGACACACGTGGAGACTTAAACTCAGCAAAATTAAATAAAGAATTTAGCTCCTCACTTGGCAGCAGGCTCACTTCAAATGCTCAGGAGTCACATGTGGTTAGCCCCTATTTGTTCGAAGTACACAGATAGAGCACATTTCCATCATTGCAAAAATTCTGTTCAGTGCTCCAGTCTCAAAGAAAGAAAAAATGGACTGCTACGTAATTACAATGAATGCAATCATTATTTTTACTCTTCATTTTGGCATTTATTAAAATGTGACCGTGTGATTTTATTTAACTAGTTCATGCATTTCCCCTAATTAAATGGAAAACTCTTTGAGACCAGAGGACATTTTCCTGCATGTGCTCCACCTTGCTTACTACAGCACTGGCTCATTGAAAGTATAGTGAACATGAAATATAATTTTCTGTTTGCCATGGATAACTTTTTCCATGAATGAGTTTTTAAGATTAGCTTAGAATTTTATGTCCTGTAAGGACATAGGGTCGTGGAGCATGCTGTGAATTTAACCCGGATAGGCAATTATATTCCAGGTAACCTGGGTGGTATGAAATATGACAGGGGTTCTTAGATTTTCCCTACGCATCGGAATCACTTGGAGAACTTTAAAAATAATGTCTGCTGATCCTAACTTGCAGTCTAGGTTGAGATCCACTGTAAAGAGATTGTACCCCCTCAACCCTCCCCTTCAATTCTGATTTACAGCTGCAAATTAGTGCTACATTAAAAGTTCTTTACATTACTTAATTATACGTCTTTTTCCTTACAGTTTCTTATGTCAGTGATCACTATGGTCCTTCTGACACTGATGACTGTAACGCTGGATCCTCCTCAGAAATTCCCGGATTTATTTTCTGTTTTGGTGTGTTTTGTATCCTGTTTGAAATTCCTGTTCTTTTTGGTTTACTTTAACATTATAATCATGTGGGATTCCAAAAGTAGAAGAAATCAGAAGAAAACTGACTAGTCTACCTCTATATGTGAAAATATTAACAGTGATAAAAAGTTTTGTGAAGTTTTTGCCATGTATAAATAAAAGGATCATTTTGAGTATTATGGAATTACTAGAGACGTGGTGCACGAAATTCATGCACAGGGGGACGGGTCCCCCTGCCCAGCCTGCACCCTCTCCAATCCAAGGCCCCTCGGGAGATGTCCAATGCCAGTTTAGGCCCAATCCCCAGGATGGGGTTTAAACCAGCAGTTTGACATCCCTCTCACAATCCGGAACAACAGGCTCCTAACTGCTCACCTGCCTGCCTTCTGATCACCCCTAATGGCCCCCCCCCCCGCTGCTCTGGTTCCCCCAATTATCCCCTCACCAGCCTGGTCATTACTAACTACTCCCCACCAGCGTGGTCTCCCCTTACTGCCTCCTCTGCCAGCCTGGTCGTCCCTCACTGCCCCTCCCTCCCCCACGGCCTGGTTGCCACCAACTCCCCCCCCCCCCCCCCCCCTGCTGGCCTGATCGCCCCACACAGCCCTCTATTCAGTCATTTGGTCACCTTCACTAACCCTCCTGCCGACCTAGCCTGTTTGGTCATCTGAATGGTTGTTTTGGTTGCGACGAACACTTAGGCTTTTATATATATAAATAGGAAACAATGAAAAATCATTTTTCTCTACACAAATGAAAGTATTTGGGGACCAAAGTCCAATGGAGGCTTTTTTTGTTTCTATTCACTGGCCAAGACATACTGGAATTTTGTTTATATATACATATATATATATATATATATATATATATATTTTTTTTTTTTTTTTTTAATATATTTTATTGATTTTGTACAGAGAGGAAGGGAGAGAGATAGAGAGTTAGAAACATCGTTGAGAGAGTCATCGATCAGTTGCCTCTTGCACATCCCCTACTGAGGATATGCCCGCAACCAAGGTACATGCCCTTGACCGGAATCGAACCCCGGTCCCTTCAGTCCCCAAGCCGACGCTCTATCCATTGAGCTAAACCGGTTTTGGCAGGAATTTTGCTAATATTTTATTATTTAAGTGGGAAAAAAAAAATGCCCTCATCCCAGTATTTATTTAGAAAATGTACTCTATAATTTGTCTTGAAAAAAAATCTGCAAATACATCAAGTTTAATGGAGGATTTAGGCCCCCCCCCCCCTTTGTTTTTTAAAAGGAAATTCCTAATTTTGTTATTTAAATGTAATTTTAATGCCCTGGCCGGGTAGCTCAGTTAGTTAGTGTCATCTCAGTATACCAAGGTTGTGGGTTCGATTCCCAATCAGGGCACATATAAGAATCAACTTGTGAATGCATAAATAAGTGGGACAACAAGTTGATGTTTCTCTTTTCCCCTTCACGTCTCTTTTTAAAATAAATATTTTTAAAAAGTTTTCTTTACATTTTATTTTATTTATTTATTTTTTAAATGTAGGCAAGTGTATTAGTGACCAGTTGTGATTTTATTTAATTTATTTTTAAAATATATTTTATTGATTTTTTTACAGAGAGGAAGAGAGGGATAGAGAGTTAGAAACATCGATGAGAGAATCATCGACCAGCTGCCTCTTACACAACCCCTACTGGGAATGTGCCCGCAACCAAGGTACATGCCCTTGACTGGAATCGAACCTGGGACCTTTCAGTCCACAGGCTGATGCTCTATCCACTGAGCCAAACTGGTCTCGGCAAAAAAGTTTTCTTTACATTTTAGAATGCAAGTAATGTGTATTTTGTTCTCTACATGTGCAAATTTGAATTTTTTTTTAACAAGGCAGGAAGAGTAAACTTATTTATTTCTGAGAATGTTAATTTACTTGAATGTAATTAAACCATGAATTTTCCTGAATTAAAGTCTAAGTGGTTTGAGTGAAGTCTTTTTATTTCTCATGAGCACTAGGTTCTAAGCTTTGAGGATCACTTGAAGTTAAATGCTCTAATGCAGACTTTTATCCTTCTGTTATTTTTTATTTTAACACTAGAGGCCCGGTGCATGAATTTGTGTATGGGTGGGGTCTCCAGGGAGGGCTGGGACACGATCAGCCCTCCAGGTGGGTGGTGGGACGCCCTTGCTGACCCAGAATTTGGATCCATCCTGCTGACATTTGCACCGGTTGTTGGGAGCCATCTGGCAGCCACTTTTATATCCCTTCTTCCTTGTGGAGCATCTAGGGAGGGGAAGCAGCGCTGTGCCTGAGGCTGACTTCCAGAAGGCTGGCACTGTCAGGATCATGCTGGTGGCTTTGGTATGTTCATGCCTGGCCCATTCTCCAGAGATTGGACCAGCAGGACTACTGAGGGAATGAGTGGCTGCCACTGGGCTGGTGGACCAGGGATGGGTCAGTCAGCTGAGTGGCACTCCTGCTGTGGGAGTGCACTGACCACCAGGGGGCAGCTTCTGCATTAGAGTGTCTGCCCCCTGGTGGTCAGTGTGTGTCATAGCGACAGGTTGACTGCTCATTCAGGCATATATATATATATATATATATATATATATATATATATATATATATGGTTCAAGGTTACTAGTGCCATGACCTTTGGCTTCTATCGATAGCATGCTTCATGTTAACTTGGCCTTGTTATTACTGCTTCACTTTATATTAGCAGAAGCCCATATTTACTCTAATATTCAACTGGTAAAAATAATCCTACCTAATAAAAGAGTAATATGCAAATTAACCATCACTCCATTCCACAAACCACGCCCACAAGTCTTGCCCACTAGCCAATCAGAGCGAGTATGCAAATAAACCCAACCAAGATGGCTACAGCCAGAGAGAGCAGGAGGGAGGCGTTTCCCCAGCAACAGAGGAAGCCAAGCTTTACGTCTGCCCTTGCAAACCTAAACCTCCACTCAAGGCTACAAAGTTTCAATTATAGAAGATAAATCCAAACAGAAATGGCTGCCACCACAGCAGGATTGGCTCTGCTCCAGGCTACAAAGTTTTGATTATAGAAGGTAAATAAATTCCAGGTACCAGGGCCTCCTCTTGGGTCTACAGAGGGCGTGGCCGGCCTACAAAACACCACAGGCTCCTGGCCTAGGCTACCCCACACCCAAGGGAACCCCACCCTCAACCAGGACACCCTTCAGGGCAAACCAGCTGGCCCCCACCCATGCACCAGGCCTCTATCCTATCTAATAAAAGAGTAATATGTAGATTGACCATCACTCCAACACACAATATGGCTGCCCCCATGTGGTCAAAGATCCTGTCCCTATGTGGACACAAGATGGCCAGCAGGAGAGGGCAGTTGGGAGGGACTAGGCCTGCAAGGGAGGGCAGTTGTAGGTGATCAGGCAAGTAGGGGAGGGCAGCTGGGAGGCACCAGGCATGCAAGGAAGGGCAGTTGAGAGGGACCAGCTCTGCAAGGGAGGGCAGTTGAATATGGTTAACCCTGCAGGGGAGGGCAGTTAGGGGTGACCAGGTTGGCAGAGGAGGGAAGTTGGGGGCAAACGGGCTGGCAGAGGAGCAGTTAGACATCAATCAGACTGGCAGGGGAGTGGATTGGGGGTCATCAGGCTGGCAGGCAGAAGTGGTTAGGAGCAATCAGTAAGGCAGGCAGGCGAGCAGTTGGGAACCAGCAATTCTGGATTGTGTTCATTTAGTCGGACAGTCAGACATCCCTTGAGAGGTCCCAGATTGGAGGGTGCAGGCTGGGCTGAGGGACAAACCCCTCCCCACCCCAGTGCATAAATTTTGTGCACTGGGCCTCTAGTGTATTATATCCATGTTGGAATTTCTCATGTAAAGATGTGTCTTTAATCTGTGATAAAAATATAACAATCACTATCCCATTAAAAAATATATACATATTTTAATCCTCACCCAAGGATATTTTTCCATTTCCATTGCTTTTCATAGTGAAAGGAGGGGGAGGAGAGAGGGAGGGAGAGAGAGGAATTGGGTGCCTCTTGAATAAACCCTGACAGGAGCTGGGGATTGAAACTGCAACCCAGGTACATGCTTTTGACTGGGAATTGGACGAATCCACAATCCTTCGGTTCATGGGCCAACACTCTAACCAATTAGCAACACTAGCCAGGGCCTCTCAACATATATTTTTAATGAATATATCTATTACTACGACAGCATGAAAGCAAATTAGCTAAGTGGTGGTGTATTTTAAAACAATGTAAGGATAGCCGAAACCGGTTTGGCTCAGTGGATAGAGCATTGGTCTGCAGACTGAAAGGTCCCAGGTTCAGTTCCAGTCAAGGGCATGTACAATACATTGGTTGCAGGCACATCCCCTACAGCTGGTTGATGTTTCTCTCTCATCGACGTTTCTAGCTCTCTATCTCCCTTCCTCTCTGTGGAAAATCAATAAAATATATTAAAACAAACAAACAACAACAACAACAAAAAACCAACCAAAAAACAATGCAAGGATAAAGAAAATTTGGTTTTTGATTTGGACAATCACAGGCTGTTGCAAGAAGGTATGTGTCTCTCAGTCTGATAAAGGGAGTGGGTTTAGACAAAGCGAAAATCAAGAAGTATTTCTTTCTCAAAGTAAATGTGCCTAAAGACTCAACGGGCAGGTCCGTAGAGGAAAGCAGCCTTGAATCACTGCCGAATCAGCAGGAACATCGCTGTCCATGGGCACCATCTGTAATCAGTGTGCCCAAATGTCAGCATCTTGGCTGGCTGGTGTAGTCTTACGTTTTTATTTTTTGTAATAGTGTACTTGTGTTAGCACAGGATGTTGATTTAAGTCAAAGATGAGGGAATTCTAACTTCTGAATTACTGGGACAGAGAAATGTTATTTGAAAATAAAAGTATATAAACAGTAAAATAGAATGTGCACATAATTCAAGGTTATCTTGTAGGTAAATTCTGTAAATAAAATACTTTCCGGAGGATTTCATCTTATGTTACTGAATTACATTGTAGCTTTCATGAAGATTTATAACAATTACTTTAAGTCAAATGTCTCATATCTGTTAGAAACCAGTTGAAGAAAAGTTAACTATGTACTTTGAGAGATTTAAGTTCCAAAATATCAAAAATGTCCAGTGATGAATTAAGATCACAGAAATAGGCAATTCTGTCAGCTATACCCAGAAATATAGGGATGTTTTAATACATTTAGGTTTTATAAAAATATTAAAGATTTCTCACTTTCTTCACTAATATACCTGTCAAAAATAAACCCTTCTAAGTTATTCTCAACTTCATTTTAGAGGGAAGGGCTGTTTCTGAGAAATGCAGTTTTCTCTGTTGCCAATAAACTTAGGGTTGCTTCTTAAAATGAAGAGAATAGGGTGTATGCTCATGTATCAGATATGAGGCACAGGAAGTCATTTTCCCTTGAGCCCGCAGGGAGGGGAGAAAAATCCCCGATGTAGCATTCTGTCCAAATGATAAACCACAACTAAGTGAGTGAAACATTCACAAAAGTCAAGGCAGCCCAAGGAGCCTCTCTGTTCAATAGAAACAGAGTAAGAGATGGATAGGATGCAACTAAATAATGGTTGGAGTAACACAATGGTTTCAAATCTCAATTGGTCTTTTTTTCTGTTATGTTCACTGGAAAATCAGGGCCAAGTGTATCCACCCCCCGCCCCCATATAAACATTAGTTTTGTGTGTGGATCTTTCTGCTTTGTCCTTCATGTGGCCTCCAAGGGTGATAAAGCGAGAGTCATCTGATCTACAATGAAGAGAACTGAGAAATGATTCTTAGCAGACCCAGCTGTTCTGAAAGGCAAAAGCTTAGTATATCAAGAGGTCAGATATACAGTAACTGATTTAATAGCATTAAGCGCATACCTACATAACTTGGATTACATATGAAACCAATCTATTTCTTAACTATTTCCTTACTAAAGTAGTTTTCTTTATATTGTATTGGCTTACATTCTAGGTTTTCAATGATTTAGAATGCAAAGGAATGATCCTTTTTGGTATATTTTAGGTAATGTTCTATATAAGGGCTGTGTCACAAAGTGTTCTTAATATTTAGTAGATCGATTATCTCAAAAAATTTATTTAAATAGTACCAAGACATTAGAGAAGGCAATTAGGCTTAATTGGGCTACTGTTTAGTATTTGTCATTTAAATTAATAGTTTTTTAAAAATTCAAAATTTTTTTATTTTAAGAGGTGAATTTTAAATTTCTCTAAATGGTAATTATTTTCAACCTTAATTTGTTAAATTTTAAGATGTTCAAATAGTATTTTTATTTTTATGGTACACTGAATTAAATGACACGAAAATATCCTATACAAATTTTGTTAAGACCTAGGTGAACTACCAAGGAGTAACATTTATCCCCTGTAGGGAAATCATGTTATCAAGTTAATACATATTCTGTGATTCCTCTTCCCCTTTATTTTGTGACAGCACAAACATGATGATATAAAACAATACCATAGAGAAACAGAATTAATGCTTCAAAATAATTTGGAGGGGATCACATGTTGCCCCATAAGAAAATTCTCTTCTTTAAATTCAGTAATTTGTATAGTTTAGTTTAAAAACAACTTCATATTTTGCCGAAACCGGTTTGGCTCAGTGGTAGAGCGTCGGTCTGCGGACTGAGGGGTCCCAGGTTCGATTCCGGTCAAGGGCATGTACCTGAATTGCGGGCACATCCCCAGTGGGGGGTGTGCAGGAGGCAGCTGGTCGATGTTTCTCTCTAATCGACGTTTCTAGCTCTCTATATCTCTCCCTTCCTCTATGTAAAAAATCAATAAAAAATATTAAAAATAAAAATAAAAACAACTTCATATTTAAATGTTTATTAAAAATGCATCTGGTATTTTATAAAAGGTGTGAAAATTTTGAAAATATTTTTTTTCTACAACAGAAATAACTATAGAGTATAATAAAAATTCATCCCTGAAATA